TGTTTTTATTTTATGTCTCTTGTAACCAGTACTGAGGAGAATACTTTCTATTATTCAATATTCATGCTCTTTTAAACTGGTGAATGTAATCGTTTTTAATTAACTATATTTACTGACGTATTTTCTTATTTCTTTTTTGAAACTGTTTTTTTCTGATGCTTTTTTCTGTGTTTTTGTAGACACTTTCCCTCCCTTGAAGCTCCTTTACCTTTCCCCTGTTAATAACGTAATTGTCTTAAATATTCCATCTGTATGCAGTGATAACCACATCAAAGTATCTCATCTTCAGAAATTCCAAGAGCCCTTCATTTCCTTCCTTTTTCAGGAATTGCTCTAGCCGTTCTTTTAGATACTATGAAGATATTCAGTTGAATAATCCTGCCATGTGTTGGATATATTGGCTTTTACTTACAGCGGATACCTCACTCATGTGTTTTATAATTTTTTTTCACGAGCTCTTCTTCAACAAGGTTTCAGAATCTCAGTTTTATGAGATTTTATGCTAGAATCTCAGTTCCAGCTCCGAACTTTGGGCCCCAGATCTCAACCTTATTCCCTGTATGGTTGTGACAGATTCCCACAATTCTGAACCTGAATTACCATTATAACCCATGTGCACACAGCCCTAACTGGCATTCTCTTCTTTATTTTAGGCTACTGGGAATTTCCCTTATGTTTGGGGGGGAGCTCCACTCTACTTTTAAAGGAATGTTAATTATATTTTATTCAGTATTTTCTAGTTGTCTTGCAGCAGAAGAGTGTTGAAGTTTTCTAGTTCTCTCTATTGCTGGAAATGTTAAGTCCTGTGGCTCCTTGGTCGTTAGCGTAAACTGTCTAAAAGCTTTTAGATCTTTTCTTTATTCCTGGTATTCTGAAATTTTATGATGTAATTTGGCGTGGGTGTATTCATTGTGCTTTCAGTAACCCCTTTTAATCTGGAAATTCATGTTTTTCAGTTCTGAAAATTCTTGTATAAATGATCTGATAATGTTCTCCCTTCTACTCTGTCTTTATGACTCTCATTCATCAGATGTTGGACTTATGATTTAATTTCTTTTCTTACATTTTCTCTATTTGCCATCTTTTTACCATTTTGTGCTTCATCTTGGGAAATTTTCTCAACTTTGTTTTCTAATTATTCTATTGGATTATAAATTTCTGCTCTTTTTTATTCTCTAATTGTTCCTTTTTTAAAGCATTTTGCTACCAGGGCTACCAGGCCCTGCCTCAGGGGGACGCTGCTGGGTCACCAGGCTGCTAACCTGGGGAGCAGGTTAGCACCTCGCGCTAATAGGCTAGAGGGAGGACCCCAAAATGGAGTTTGCCAGCAGCCGTGTCCTTGTGGTACCATGAGCTTCCCAAAATGGCTGCCATCAGTATCTATGTCCCCAGGGGAAGTCTCAGTCACACTGGCCTTCAAAGCCAGTCTGGGGCTCATCTTCCTTTGCAGGAGCCCAGTGTGAGGCTCGGACCCCTTGTTCCTTGGGAAGAACCCCTGCAATCGTGATTTTCCTCCTAGCTGTGGGCCATCTACCCAGGGCTGCAGTCTTGACTATTACTGCATCTCCATCCCTCCTACCGTCTCGTTGTGGTTCCTTCTTTTTTTTTTTTTTTTTTTTTTTTTTTTTTTTTTTTTTTTTTTTTTTGCGGTACGCGGGCCTCTCACTGCTGTGGCCTCTCCCGTTGCGGAGCACAGGCTCCGGACGCGCAGGCTCAGCGGCCATGGCTCACGGGCCCAGCCGCTCCGCGGCATGTGGGATCCTCCCGGACCGGGGCACGAACCCATGTCCCCTGCATCGGCAGGTGGACTCTCAACCACTGCGCCAGCAGGGAAGCCCCGTGGTTCCTTCTTTATACCTTTAGTTGTGGCAAATCTTTCTGCTAGTCTTCAGGTCATTCTCATCCGTAGCTGCTCAGTAAATAGTTGTAATTATGGTGCGCTCTTGGGAGGGGGTGAGCTCTAGGTCTTCCTACTCCACCATGTTGGCCACCCATATGCTTTTCAGATAACAGTAAGAGCAAAGTTAATAGCTTTCAAGCTGTCACTGTGTGCCAGACTCTCTGCTATGTGTTTTACTTCTAATATTCCAGTTAATCTTAAAAACAAAAAACCTGTGGGTAGGTTTTAAAATGATCTTCACAGTACAGATGAGGAATCTAAGGCTCAGAAATGTTAAAACCTCAAAGTCACGCAGTCAATCCTGCAGAGCTAGCATTCCAGCCCAGAGCCGTTGGATTCCCAAGTCCGTGCTGTTGACCTTTACAATAAACTGCCTCCATCTCTTGAATAGATCTGGCTGTGACTCAGTCATATAAGGAAAGGAATGCATGGGAACAACCACCAGCTTCCAAGGCTCTGCAGAGGAGCATCCTTTCCTTGGAATATCAGATGGCTGTTTGCAGTGAAGACCTGAGACGGTTGGCAAACAGCCTTAGGCCATCCTGACCAGGCCGGTGATACTTTGTCATCATAATCCAGGGTCACCCAATCCAGGGTCAGTTCAGAATCACTTCATCCAGATGGGATCAGGCTCTACATAAATGATTGATGGTAACCTGCCCATGGGGGGCTGATTAGAACTTTGAAATACCTGCATATATAATTCTTAGGGCAAAAAACCCCTAACAGGACAGACCAGGATGTGAGACCCACCAAACCAGACTGTCTCAAACACTAAGTCGGGAAGTTGGAAGGTGCTTCGTATTCTGAGATAGTCTCAGGAAATCCTGGAGACACTTACCCAGCCAGCGATTATGGGCACTGGAGTTAGGCATATCCTGTGTCACCGTTTGTCAGCTGTGCATCCTTGGGAAAGTGACTTGACTTCTATGAACCTGAGTCTAGAAACACCTATAAAGTGTGTGGTACTTTACAAATCTCACGTGAGTATTACTGTCCCCTATATCTTGATACAGGCATCTGCCTGCCACCCAGACTGAAATATCCATGTTACTTATCCAAGCACCCCTTCCCTAAAATATTACTGGAGAACACATTTTAATTTACTTTTCTAATATCAAAACAAAATACAGTTCCTGATTTTTGCAAATTCTTTTTTGTTGGTTTCTTTTAGACCAACTGTTTTCTGATGACGTTTCCTAGGAAGCTTTCTCCAGGTCAGGCCATAGGGTCTGTTTCTTCCATGGAATTTTCCTATGGGGAAGCTACTCTCTTCTGTGGGATGAGAATTCTTATTTTAGCATATGCCCCAGAAAACAACACTTACAGACTCATCACCAGAGTGGTTGTTCAGATATTTCAGGTTCCTGTGGCTCTCCACCCTCTAAATAGAGCACTGCTTCCTCATCTCCACAGGTACTAGGTGATACACCTTAAGATCAAAATCTGTCTCTGTAATGGGTTTAGAGGCAAAGATGATTAAAGGGTTAGAAAATCTAACATGTAGAGAAAAGTTCTTTATCTCACAAGGGCAAGAAATCAGCCATTCCTCACTGAAGAATGGAACAAGAAAAAATGAAAAGTGTGCTGTGGTGTAAAGGATTAAGAAAATGTCTGACAATCTCGTTAAATGTGGATATGAGTTCAATTAGGATAGTGTCGACTCTCCTCTTTGGGAAACATAAAAGATGTGGTTTAGATGCATCAAATGGGGACAGTTGGGTCCAGTCCTAGACGTATCCTTGCCCAAGGGCCGACAGATGGATCAAATGACCTCTCAGCATCCCTCCCAGCCCCACACTTCCGTTGTGCTATGCTTGTTGGATTAGCATGTTAGTTGAATCAGAGCTGCCCTTGCAAGTTAGCGGAGGAGTAAGCTTCTTGAAAGAAAAACAGGTAAATTCATTGTCCCCAAAATAAATGTCTCTCTACCCTGTTGCAGATGAAATTATACCACCAGGGGTGTATTTCCTTCAGTCCCGAAATCTTTTAGGTCTTCTGGAGTTCCCTAACAGAATGCGGACACTGACACCTAAGTAAAGATGAAGTAACTAAACTTTATCAGATAAGGTCTTAGCAGAGAGCAAGATCCTGCGGCAGACCAAGACAAGACACGCAGGGAGAGGGAGTCCCAGATAGGAGACGTAGGCGTGACTGCACAGGCAAACTGCCGTATTGAACATGTAGCTCTTGGCTTGTGCAGAAGATGGGGCTGTCCTCCATCCCCACCGAATTCAGTCATTCTTTCAATGCCCGTGCAGCTCCTACCAGGCGTGGAACACTAGACAAGCACTGGGAACACGGCTGTAAGCCAAACATGGTTCCAGCATTCCTACAAAACACTGAACACGCGATGAACGTGTAGTCAGTTACCCTGTGGGGTCTACACTCATGCAGCAAATAACGGCCAAGTTGCCAATATGCACAAGGCATCGTTTCAGGCGCTTGGCATGGGGTGGTAACCAAGTGGACAAATCCCCTGCCCTCGTGGAGCTTACGTTCTGGTAAGAGGCAGTTACGTGATGAAAGAAGCACGAGGTGATCTAAGAACTATGACAAGGAGCCCTACCCTAGCTGACAAGTCCCCCCCGAGAAAGGCATGTTTCTAATGACATGTGAAGGCTGAGGAGGAACTGGTGAACAGGCAAAAAGTCGTGGGGGGAGGTGGCATCAGGAGAATGCTCCATTTAAAGTTACCAAACGTTGTCAAGCCACCACGATTTGCTCGTATAGTAGGATGAAGGGGCACTTATACCTTTCTCTTTCTTGCTAGTATTCAAATATTTGTGCAATAAATAATTTTAAGCAATATCAAAGTCATACTTAAAACTTTTTTACCTCATTTTTATCTTGTGACTTTAATGGATTGGTCTTTAAACTAGTACTTGTAAACGATCACGTTCTATATAGCTGTCATATAATTTGGACACCAAGTTCAAAATCAACTAGGAGTTTTACCCTGGTGATGTAAGCATTGAGTCTAATTCTAAAATGTGTTTGATATTGCTGTATGGAAACAAGACAACATGTTTGACATTGTGACATGGATCTTTCCCCACCTACACTGAATATGAATTATAGGTTGGTTCCTGCACTACAGGTGGACCTGTGGCAGCCCAGCAGTATCTCCCAGGTATCAGAGGGAACAGTTACTGATGTCCATATTCCCCACAATGGTTCCCGAGCCCTGTTAGCCTTCCTACAGGAAACCAACATCCACTACAAGTAAGCATGCTTTTTCCTTGCTTAATTCATTTGTACTCAGTTGAACTGAATGATAACTGTATTCAGGTTATGCATTAAGTGCCAACAGCTGTTTCAGGTTCTATTTTTCACATTGGGGAAACCAACATGAATATAACACAGTTATATTTGCCTTTCATGAGCTTCTTATTAGTGTAATGGGGGAGCGGGAAGCAGCCACACTTCCCTGTCATTTCACCATTACCTGTAAGTAATCAGTGTAAACATGGAAGCATTTTACTGTGTGAGGAAAGGAGAGTAGCTTATCCATGCCTACAAGGTGGATAGGGAGACAGGGACAGAAAAAAGCCAGACTCTGCAGGAGCTGTGTCAGTTAGACAAAGGATGAGACTCAGGACCTTGAAGGCAGAGGTACAATGCCAGCAAAGGCAAGAAGCAGCATCGTATGTGTGCAGGGAACTGGTATAAGTTGGGGAGCAGAAAGAAAAGACGCTGGAGAAGTGGGGGGAGGCCAGTGGTAGGCAGCCTGTTGTTCAGAGTTAGGAACTCAGACCTCATCTTGGGGGTGATGCTGCACAACTGGAGGATGTCAGCAAGGGAACCACATGTAAGTGGGTGGAGGGAGCGGTACGAGGCCACAGTAATGATCCAGAGGAGGGAGAACGAGGCCCCTGAGTCAGGACCAGAGCCCTAGAATCAAGAGAGAACTCCAAAAGATGTTTCAGAAGCAAAACCACCTGGACTCTGCACTTGTTTGGATGTAGGTGGAAGAGGAAGAATCAAGGATGACTCCAAGTCTTCTGTCTGTGGTGACTGAGTAGATGGGTTTGGATATTTTGAGGGTTTGTTTTTTGTTTTTCTAAGGAATAGTTAAGCAGTAAGAATGGAACAAGTGGGAAATAGTCGCAGGAGTCAAAGAAGAAACAAAAACCTTTTGAGAGGAAGGATGTCAGTGGCACCAAGTGCTGCAGTGATATCCTGCCAGAAAACGATCGATCAGTTCCCTTTGGATTTGATGATGGAAATTGCACTGGTAACTCTAATGTAGCATTAGATTGTTAGGAGCAGAAGACAGAAAAGTGAACAGGAGGTGAGAACATGGAACAGGAGAGCAGACTATTCTACTACTCTTAGAAGTTACAATAGGGAGAGAGGCAGAGAGTGAGGAACGACTACAGGAAGCTGCTACGTCAGCGGATGCTTGAGACTCGGCATGTTAGGGTAAGGAGGCAATTTTGGCCTGTAAGCTGAAGGGAAGGACCAGCAAGGAAGGAGACATTGATGATGCAGGAAAGAATGTACAGGTGAGGGAGGGGGTTTGAACACTAGTGAAAGATAGCTTATCCTATAAGACCAAAGAGGTAACTGTGGATCTAGTTAAGATTGTGGAGAAGAGAGTCAACAAGTTTAAAGAGATCATAACTGACAGCCAAATTATCTGGATGAAGTGAGAAGCAAAATGTATCTACTCAGAGTAAAGAAATAGGGGTTAAAGAGTGTTGTGAGAGAAAAATCGGGGTAAGAACCAATAACAGTGGTTGTTGCGGAGAAGAGAGATTGCAGTACTGATACAGAGTTGAGGTTTTGTTGGTTAGGACCACAAAAAGATCAGGGTGGAGGGAAGTTGAGGTTCCTAGTGAGAGACTAGCTCAAGTAGTCATCCATGGGGTCTAGTCTGGATAGGAAGGGAGGAGAGTCTAGGAAGAATGATGGGACAAGACGGAAGAATCAAGGGTATTAAGATCTTTATATTCAAAACAGGTGTGAGGGCAACAAACTGGAAGGAAAGAAGTTTTGATAAAGTGTAGGCTATTGGATGTTAATAGTTCTGGGGAAGAACATTTATGGCTGGTGACAAGATTATAGGGGTAGCAATGAAGGAGATGGCTGAGGTGGGTGGAGGTCATTGAGGCTGATGCGGTCAAGAAAGAGTAGGCTAGCAATTATACTCCAATAAAGATGTTATAAATAGGAAAGGAAAAGGAAAGGAAAGGAAAGGATGGGATGAGTGGGCTTAATCACCAGCAAACCATCCCAGCAGTCTTGAATCTCCTTGGCTTATGGCTAGATTAGAGGTGGGGGGAGAGAACGTACTCCTGGGACAGGAAATACCAGCTTGGAGGTAAGCAACCAGGAATGGCCTGATGCTGAAGGGAGGATGAGCTTTTCCTGGAAGTTAGAAGATTAATGGGGAAGCACCAATGGGAGCCCAGGAGGATGCTGACCTCCCTCCCTTCTGGCCCCGTGGTCAGAGAAGTGGGAGAAGAGACAGCCACGGAAGAATCTGTGTCCTTGAGAAAGTCTGGTTTCTACTGGGGCAAGAATATGAGAAGAGAGAGTTCTCTGAAGAGACTGGAGGATGTAGGAATTTTATTTACACTCAAAGAGGGATTCCAACAGGCACAAGGCAAAAGGATGTGGTGAAGAGATGGAGAGTCAGTGTAGGATCTGGGGGGGAGAAACACAGGCTAGTGAATTAGTGAGAAGGGAATGAGTGAGTTACCTTTTGTCTGGAACCCTAGGATTTCAGGGCTGAGAGGCATGATTGGAAATGACTAACCTTAACTACTCCAACTTTTCAGCAAGTGGTTGTACTGCCAAAACTGGCAGAAAGATCCCTGATGATGTCTGGCGAGGCCTGGGAAGGGTTCATGGCTCTGAGTCAATGGTGAGAACCCTAGTCTCAGTGGAAGGCTGGGCCAAGGGGTGCACAGGGGCTGTGACACCCCTCCCTGGTCCACACAAATACCTACCTGCCAGAGACGTATTTACAGGCTTATTAAAATACTTATAGGCTTTTTGCAGAAAGGTATTTTATCTGTGTTTCTAGAACAGGGTAGAGTCAAAGCTGTGCATAAAACTCTTGTTCATACTGAACACATTTTAGTCATTGCTGTAGCTTTGAAAGCATGCTTTGATTCTCTGAATGCCTTTCAGGGAAGTGCTTATATATCTATAGGTCCTCAGTAAAAACTCACATGCTTCATTAATTATTGTTTGGAAGAAAAGAATATACCAGTTATTAATTATTATTTGGAAGAAAAGAATATACCAGTTATTTTAACAAGTGTCTATTTCCTGCCATTCAGTATAGGTCATGTGGAACTGATACAGAATCAAATATCACCCTTTATTCCACAGAGAATAGAGTCTAACAAACAAGTGTTTTAAACCAGTTGTCTCCTCATGGAGAGCACTCATTTAGAATCATTCATTTTGTTGTTCCCAGGATAATAACAGAGAACAGTTAAGTTCCACGGGGCTGGTAGGTAGAGATCATTTTAATTGACTTTTATTATTGTAGCCAGGGGTATTTTCAAAAGATGATCATTTACTCTGTACAACTGTACATAACGTATAGTTATAGTCATCTTTATGTGACCGCATGTGTCTGGCCCCAGGTGATCCAGCCCCCTTATCGATATGACATGACTCCTTTTGCCATAAAAATATTTTGAAAATATTGAGAATTTGAGAATTTGAAAATTCTCAAGAATTTGAAAATATTTCAAAACATTTTGAAAATTAAATACCTTTAAAATTTCAAATTTTGACCAACCCCTTCTCCTCCCTGGAAGCTTTGGGGAGGTGGTTTTGTACTAAGTGATGACATCACTTGGAAAGTTCTTAATAGGTCTAGGAGTCGCTATTTTAGGAGTACATACAATTGGGGTAGAAATAATAATCAGCCATAAGGAACTAAGAAACTACAAAAAAGCCATTTTGGGGCTTCCCTGGTGGCGCAGTGGTTGGGAATCCGCCTGCCAATGCAGGGAACGCGGGTTCATGCCCCGGTCCAGGAAGATACCACATGCCGCAGAGCGGCTGGGCCCGTGAGTCATGGCCGCTGAGCCTGCGCTCCGCAACAGGAGAGGCCACAACAGTGAGAGGCCCGCGTACCCAAAAAAAAAAAAAAAAAAAGCCATTTTAGGTTCCATTTCATGGGCTTTTCGTCAACTTGCTGGTTTCCAGTTGCCTACTTGACAAGGACCAAGTAGGCAGACCTGGTGTGACAGCCCAGCAGTCAGGAAGCTGTTGCTGTGCTACTGCTGCCACCACTGTCGTTACCATAATTGCCTCTCATGCCAGGAAGCTGGTGACTAGACCCTGGAGTTCTGAGTCCAGCCACCTGACTGCCTCTGAACAGTCACACCTCTGCGACCTCGACACGCCACAGCAACAGCAGCAGGAGATGGTCTCTGCCTCGTTCTTAACTTCCTGTCTTGTCAGAGTTCACAGATTTGTCCCCAGAACCACAGGTGTAAGAGAGTCGAGGAAAAGTACTTTTCAGCTTCCCAGCCCTTTCAGCACAGGAAGTCCAAAGAGGGCATAGGCATAAATGCTGAGAGGCAGTTGACCACATCCAGCAGACACACTCAAGAGAGGAGAGAGGAAGCAAGGACCAGCTGTATTCTAATACTCTCTTCCACTTTTATCTAGTATAGAACCTAAGAGGACTGAGAGCCATCAGTTGCCAGATTAATTAGCCTAAATTTGAGCCTGACAATATATTAAAATCACCTGGTGAGCTTTTAAGAAAGGCCCGATACCTATGCACAGGAGATTCTCGTCTAAGTAAGGCTCAGTGTGGCATATTTTTTAAAGCTCATGGGTGACTTTAAAGCAGGCCATCTTGAGAATCACTGGCCTAAATGAATGGATAAATACTGGGGATCCAAAGGCCAGCTCTATTTAGGGCACTTGGAAACTTTAAAACTGAGAAGCTTAAGAGTTGATTCATCAAAGAAACTAATACCCAACTAGAGTGATTCCACAACCTCAAACTGAAAAACCTCATCATTTACTTCGGTTAAAACACTAGCAAACTTGACTAGAAAACATTAAGGTAAATATTTTGTAGGAGCAATTATCCATGAGAATTATTTTGACAGTTCATTTCGTTATGTGATTAGTAATATGTTTATCATTATCAGTTGACAAATGACTTAAGGATCTAATCAATTAAGGAGCATAATTTTTCATACTGAAACTCCTGAAAAAATATTAGCTTTCTAAGGGGT